GTTTAGCAATCAAATAAGAAATTTCAAAACTCGCTTCTGTTATATTATTAGGAGTTTTCACAAATCTTGAAAACAAATTTGATTGTTTTTCAACATCTTTTAATCGTTGTAATATTAATTCTCTTCTTTCGGCAATATTTTTTTCAGAAATTTCCCTGTGATTAGTTTCAAAATGTCGTTTAATAGAAGATGTTCGACATACAATAACTTCGGAACACAGACCACAACTACTCTTATCTCCATGTTTAATAAAGCCGTAATCAATTGTCCAAGATGGTAAAAAACTGCGAACATCCTGTAGTTTTTGTTTTTTTATTGGTGACATGTTAATGGGGTAAATAATTAAATCTAAAATTACACGATAAAAATTATATATATTTAAATAATGTTTATTTGTTAAATTAGTTCATTACCGAAATCAAGTTTACAGCTGTAAAAATATTTAGCATTAGAAATTGGTCGATGTTTTTCATTCACTTTCTATTAGAAGTATTTTCAATTAAAAATAACGGTAAAAAACTAAACACGACACGTGTTGTGTAAACTCAGAAAAACAATTATGACATTCACTCTTGCTAACTTCGCTCCAAATGAAATATGGATAATTTTTCATACCCTAAAAACCACAACTTTTTTGTTTTAAAAAGAAAACTTCAAAGTTTACTATGTTTTTTCTTTTTTGAAATTTTGAATACTCAATGCATTTTCAAAGCGGTTTGAATTTTTTTTCGTTTTCAATTTTTTTTCAATACTTTACTTAGTGAAGCGAAAAAAAAACAAAAATAAAAAGAATATAACATTTGAATATGTTTGGTTTTGAATATTTGTCATTTCGCTATTAGGAAATTATCATTTTTAGGAAATTTTTCATTCAATAAATTTTTCAACGAGTTTTTAGATTTTTTATTAGAAAAAAAATCTATATAAAAATTTGTCGAGGCACAACTATAACGTGCCATCACATTTTTTTTCCGTGCCAAGTTTGGCACGCGTGCCCTTTAATTGCCATCCATGTTCTAGTACCTTCATACCATATAGAGGCAACACATACACCAACAAACATTTAAGAAAAACTTTTTCAATATTTGATTTTTTTTTGTATTTTCTTCTTTTTATCAAAATATCCGTTAATTTCATGAGGAAAAAAAATTTACCTTTTCATATCGTTTTTCAATTAGTTTTGCAATTTCTTTTTATCGGTATTACTACGTACGTATGTTACTTATATACGAAAAAGAAAAGTAGGGAACTTCAATAGTGTTGCTGTCCTTTTACAGGAATTACAAAAAAAAAAAAAACAAGCGAAAAAAAACGAAACAAAATAAAAAAAAAGTTTTTGTAATTTACAGAAAAAAAAACTGGAACATAAAAGACTCTTCTAAAAATAGGAAACTAATGAAAATTAAAATGCAACTAACTTAAATCTCTACCCACATGTACAAACGTATACTTGAACAAAAAAGTATTCATGGAAAAACATTTGATACGTTATGAAAGGAATATTCATCTAATTACCAACTATGTATTAAAATAGAATTATAGTGAGGTAGATCTCTCAGATGTAATCCTGTATATTATCATTACCATGTCCTACTATAGATAAGATAAGACTCTTATACTTATGAATGGCTATAAGAAATTTTAAGAAAATAACTGAAACTAAAATTTTGGATATTAAGTTTCGTCATTACTATACTAGGTAATACTTTAGAAGAATGAAAAATTCCACCTATTCTAGAATTCACGAGGATTCATTAAATGACTCGAAAACAAGTTTTTTGATTTAACCAAAAATTAGAATTGTTACATCAACTTTTAACAAACAAAACTATTTCCCAAAACTATTTTCTAAATTTGTCGAAAATCGCTTTCAAATTTGAATTTTAAGTTTCAGTATAGCAAAAAAGATCTCAGAACTTATTGAATATATCTTTGAAAATACAATCAAGATAAAAGTAACTAAAAATGGTTCTGTGTAGGCAATATCAAACATTTTATTTGGATTTGTCGTAGCATTAAGGAACAAAAAATTTAATCATTAGAAATGCAAAATATAAACTCGAAAATCTTATAGCACGACAATTAATTACAGAAAATTAAAATTTTAAACAAGAAATATTTTGCCTTCATATTTAAAGTTAAGAAAGGCTAAACGATTTTAAATGTTTAAATGAGACCTGATATCTCTTCGTTGGGGGAATATTAGTGATGTGATATAGGAGTTCTGACAGGCCATTGTCTGGTTGGCGAATATGCGACAAGGATTGGCCGCTCCGCAAACAATCTCTGTAAGAGCTGTTTTGACTAGGGAGAGGAGGAAACGGTGACCCACCTTCTGTGCTCATGTCCGGCACTGGCGAACTCTAGGCAGACATTTCTTGGGTCTTACTTCTTCGGTTACGCTGCGGACTTACCGGATATAAATATTAGGGATCTTGGCCGATTTGTAAAGAATTCTGGCGGGTTCAAATGAGGGGCGAAAAAGGAGTGATCCGGCGGTGATCCTAAATGAAAAACTTGATAGCTTATGATTTTACCAACAGATGCTTGATATATGATTCGAGTATTACAATTTAAAAAATATGCAAAATGAATTCTGTAAAGAACTTAAAACTTAAAAATAATTTAAAGTATAAATTTGAAATTTTTTTATTTTCTTTATCTATCAGCTTACAGAATTAAATTAATTTTGAAATTGACTATTCAAGTAAGTAATATTTACATATGTGTTGAGGTTCTGGAATTTTATCAGCCAGTAATTTCAAATTTATTGAAAAATTGTGAAAAATAAGAAACTACAAGAAAGTCTCCAAGGAAATTTTGAAATATCAAATGTTTAATAAATTTATAAATTGAATGCCACAATTTCCTTTTCTTACAACTTTGACAAAATCTTAGTAAAATTCAAAATTTTACTATGTCCATTTGAATTGATTTTAATTGCCAAGTACGTAAATTACGTATAAAAGTTTCAACTTCCATTTAAAACTTCTTTTCTGATAAAATTTTAAATAAATTCTTTAGAATCACTTCAAAGAGCTCTCAAGGATGAACTTTCATATTTTTGTATCTTAATTTGTATTTGATATGAAAAGAATAATATTAAATTAATAGCATAATTTAGTCATATATGAAGTCCATTCAAACATGCAAGTATATAGATGCTTGTAAATGTACAACTGTATTATTTTATAAGCCTATTAAATGCATTTTATGCACAAGTTTTTTTAAGCCCTTTACTGACCTCGATAGATTGTTTTTCATTTATTTTGCCTGCCATATTTTTTGTTTTGTTTGTTGTTTCTTTCTATGACTTATTCCAATATACACACATAATTTATTATTTTTACAAATATATTTTGTAAGGATATACATACACATGCATATGAAAAAGGGTCGCCAAGAGGTATAATTTTTGTAGAAGGCATGACAAGCGTCGTTTTTACATTTGATGATAACAGGCAATTATTGTGGTTAATTGTGATTGTAGTGGCAAATGAAAATGAAATTTTAAACAATTTCTTTTTTTCTTATCATAAAAGTTCGGTTTTTCTGAGGTAATATTAGAATTTGATCTGACACTACTTTACAAAATTCTAATAGAATAAAAACGAAATGGCATTTTTAAAACTGCAGTATTACAAGACAATTACATCTTAAAAAATTCCGAGCATTTGCACAAATCTCCATTTTTTAATATTCTTAACATTTCTGAGCAAATATGTTTGAAAAAAAAATGTAAATGTAAAACATTATTCATTCACAAATTCATTGGTAACACTAAAACAAATGTACAACATTTTTATCTTTCTCTTTTTCGCTATTCTACCTGAATGAATAGTTTATACTCGGAAATTACACTTTTTGATTAGTTTGAAATTTTCCGGAAATGAATGTTAAATGGAAAATAATAATATAAGAATTATGTTTATAGCTATAATAAAAAATATACGATATATGAACACATAAAAGTTTACGTGAGTAAATTTAATTTGTATAGATGTGTGAGTGTATCTTAGTATCTTTTATGATATTATAAAAAATAATAAATTAATAAATAAAAAATAGAAGTTAAATACAAAACTAAAAAAAAAAGAAAATATTGAATAGTGCGGTAAATAATAAATTTATGTATGAAAAAAAAAACATAAACTGAATAAAACTGCAAGGGTTAAATGATTTGAGTATGTAGGAGCGTAGAGTTTAAATTGGTACATAATATCCATAGAACATACAAGTAACCTACATTTTATATCAGTAAGAATAAATCTTTATAAATTGTTTTCTAAAAAAATTGTAAATGTATGTAAGAACGTACAAATTCAATAATTGAAGGAGGTAACAGAATTTGCAATATAGTTTTTTTTTTCTAGGATTTTTAAATTCAAAACTTTTTAATTAAAACACATGCTACAGGTAGCATCAAATGATGGGTCAGAATGTTCTAAAAGTCCTTGAGCTCTCAAAAAGATAATAAACTTTTGTAATAATAAAACTCCACATAATTTTTTTTAAACAATTATCTATAGTAGATCAAATTCAATAAAAAAAAAAAAATTATATTTTTAGAATAGAAAGCGAGAATTGAAATCGAGGGTTCAAACACTTGATTTATTGTACATATAGAAGTTGGCGCGAAATTGATGACGTTCTGTTTCTCTCAAATTATAATTCAGCTCTATGAGTAATTCTGTGCATATTTTATCAACAGAACTTATATAACTAGTTTTCTATTCTCCTAAATTCTCACTTTCTTTTATGCTTCTTTTATGCTTCAATATAAACAAAAAATGCCTTCATATTGCCGCAAAAGCAATAAAGATGAAAGCATAACATTTAATAGTAATTTATTTTCGTCTTATTTTATAAATTGTTTGTGTAACACAAATTGTATTTTATTATTCAAATTCCAAACTTATTTAAAACTTTTCAAGATAAATCATAAATAATTACAAGTAGATGTAAACGCATTCATTTAAATGGTATATTCAAAAACTTACCGACACCACCACCTAAAACTGTATTTGTTTCCAATTTAACTTTTTTTGTTGCCAAATCTTGATTATTATTGTCCGATGCTGGTGCCATAACTGCTGCTTGACTTAATAACTCGTCAGAACCTCTCTGCAAAAATAAAGAAAAATATTTTCATAAATAAATGAATTTAATAAAAAAAATTTAGTGAACTATTTGCTATAAATTTAAAGATTCCTGTTTTATAAAGTTAAATATTAATTATTCTAGTATTTATAAAATTATAATAGAATTCTAAGACGTTGTTTACAATAATGCGACAAAATCGAAGATTCAATCTTAGTCTGATAAAATTCGCATTTATGTAAATATTTCTTAACATCAAGCTATGCCTTGCGAAAAATAATATAAATTACTCTATCCTCATCAGATTTATAATTGTCAAATTTTTTAAAATAAAATGACGGCAATTATTTTCTTGCGAGAGTTTTGAAAAGCGACCAGCTGGTTTTCATTTTGTTTATAATTTTTGTAGCAAATTGTTAAATTTAGACTTAAAGTCTAAGCTTTATGAGATAATTTTAGTGTAGTGTGGAAAGAGATTAGGCTGCGTCATACGTTTAATCTTAGATTAAACACAAAACAATTTACTGAAATAAGATTGCTAGCCGGCAGGTTGTTAAAATTTTATATGTCAAAAATAGTCGAAAATAAAAAAAAAATTATAAATTTTAAGAATTTTTATTTTTTTTGCTCTAATAAACCATTATAAATGTATATGTGATGCCAAGCAGATATGTATGTATATTTATTTTCTTCATTTTTCATTTTTCCAAAATAAGTTCAATAGGATTAAAGTTTTTTAACTTTTTCAGCAAATTAATTTTTATATAAGTTTATTAATTAATAGAATAAAAAAAAAACCACTTCTTTGTGTTTCAATATTTTTTTTCTGTATGGCTTTTAGTTTTAATTTTTAAAACTTTTTTAATTGTATGTATGTATGCATGTATTTTTGTATTTTTAATTATACGTTTATGTATCGAATAATATAGATTGGGGGTACATACTTGGATATTTTTAAAAAGTTTCGCTTGTAATTTTGAACATTTTATTTGTTATCGTTGCCTAAAATGTTTTTTGGGTGATAATGTCTTAATTTTCATTAGCAATTCAAAGTTATAAATATATTAATGTATAAAAATTGTGTATGAAATAAAATTTTTAAATCCTTTACTATATTGGGTAATTTGTTTTAAAAAATCTACTCTGAACAGTATAAAAAACTTAAGTAAAATAAATTTTAATCACAACTTGGAAGTGTGCATCTTACATAATATATAATTTCTGTTCGAAATCCGTGTTCCATATTCTGTTTCAGTTCATTTTAAAGAAAGTTTCGAGTTATATTCATTAAACATTACCATTTAAGCGCAGGAAAAAGCAAAGATCGATTGGACTTGTTCGATTCAAGTAATTATAAATATTCAATTTAAAATTTTTCTTTGAAAGTTAACTATTGTGAATTTTGTATGAATGTATAACAAATTCCTTATAAGTAGATTGTTTTTTAAACGCATTTACTTAGATTATACTCTATGATTATATTACACATATCTTATTTGGAAAAAGATAAACAGGATATTTTTACAATCTTTGGAATGAAATGTGAACATATTACATGCTTCAAAAAACCTGAGGGATTAAAGAGTTGCAAAGGCCATCAGTCATTTTCAAATTATCATTATTATCATGAGAATGAGAACGAAACTATTGGTAATGATAGAATAATGTTTGATACATTTAATAAAAGTAAATTATATATCATTTAATATAAGCTAATAAATGTAAAAACATAGATGTAATAAGCAATTAAATTAACAATTGATTTGTCTTAACAGTTGATTTTTTTTCCCCATCTTTAATTGCAATATTGCTTTAAAATAAGGAGCTCTGTACGGTGTACCTATATGTATACGTAAATGTACGTTCCAGCATAAAACACCATGCTACAACAACAATTTGTAAATATAAAAAAAAAAATCGGTAAGTACTTAATAATTTCTCTGAATATTTTTATATGTGTATATTACATAATATTCACATATTTCAAAGACTGTTAAAAACAAACGTTATTAAATTAATTAAAATTATTATTTACTTTAATATAAGGTAGATATGTATATATATATGTGAATATATTTATATTTATATTTAATAATAATATATGCATGTTGAGTTTTCAAGGATAAGAGGATAAAATTATATTAAATTTGGAATCAGATTGTGTAAATAAAATAAAGAAAATTGCGTGGAAAAAAAGTTTTACTTGAGCAATTAAATATTTATAATGGTAATGATGATGCCGTTAATTTATTAATAACGGAAAATTTGTGAAATATTAAAATGATGAAAATAAAATGTTGTTGGTTACCCAATTTTTTTCATAAAATGCTATTATAGTATAAGATGCATTTTTTTATGTGTACTGATTATATACGTGAGTATAATGAGTAAAAAAAATTTTGTAAAACTCATAATATTAACGTACTTAGTCGAATTATACATACATGTATATTTATAAAATTATGAAAAGTGCGATAAGATCAACATAGACTAAATTTGAAGCTTTCGACATTAAGCAATTGCAATTTTTAATAGTGAATGGCTGTGAACAAGCACTCTATGAATTTAAAAAATGTCGATTTCAATAATTCGAGTATTTGCAACGTCAACCATATCAGTGCTCATAGCAATGTTTTCAGAAATTTTGTAACGCAGCTGTTTATTTAAAAAATAAACTTTTTATTTAAAATGGTATTAATTCTGACAAGGAGTCAGCAAATTTCAGAATATTTTTTTTTTTGTGACAAAACCTCACTAAAGTCATGTCAATAAAGTACTAAACTTCTAATAAATTAGCAAATGAAGTTACATTCCAATAACAAATTTTTAGTCGTTTGATTTATTGAATTTAGTTGAATATTTTAATATTTACTAGAAGTTGTTTTTGTAAAAAATATGAATTTTTGAATCTTTCACAATTACCTATGAGCTTTATGAATTTATTTGTATGTACTTCTCAATACATCTATACATTTTATCAATATACATATACTAATATACATTAACGTTTCGTTTTAATTAAAAAATAAGTACAGCTACAAATTAGTAAATATTTATTATAACATAAATACTCATATTTACAATAATATAAGTACATACCATAAAAACAATATTTCCTTATATACAAACTCGCAAATACAAATTCATATGGCCGTACAAAATATTGAATGAAATTTGAATTTTTATTTTTAGAGAAATTCGTACACTCTGCCGATATAATTAATATGACTCACAAATTATGTAGGACTCTGTATTGATATACCGTTATATGTGCTGAAAATATACACACATATATGCATTTGCTATATACGCTCGCACTTCTGTTAATACACAAAGTATAATGAGTGAAGTTTTCATTTAAAATTCAATTATAAAAATTGAATTTTATGCATTTTTTCATATTAAATTGTTTTACAAATTTAATGAATAAATTTTATTTCATCTTCCTTTTCATTATTAATTCAATAATAACAATTTTTATCAATTGATTTTTATAACATAATTAAGATTTGATTTCTGAAAAAGAGCAACTAACTGATGGATTGAAAATGAAAAACTTAAATAAAAAATTTTCAATATAATTTTTTATATTTTCTAAGGACGAAAACGAAAGTTTAAAAATGAAAAACTAGATTAATTTCAATAATAAAAAACAAAACACTACCAGATCACCATTCATCCTAAAAATATGCAAAATTTAAAATTTCATTTAATCTTCACAATATTATAAATAATGTATGTATAAGGTAAAACTAAAATGATCTTAAATTAAACGAATATTATTCTCAGTTTATGCAATACAGAATATTTTATTTAAAAAAAAAAAAAATCTTATATAATAAAATCCATAAACCTATTAATTTTAAGCAATTTATTATAGGAAATAAAAATTAAATTCTATAAACTAGCTCTCTATGGAATTGTATAAATAATTTAAAATTTGGCATTTTATTCATTCAAATTCTTTTTTAAACAATAAAAAACGAGAAAAAAAAGAGAAAATAAAATGCTATTAAAAAGATTGCACACACTGACTGTCTACTACAACTGGAAATTTCTATTTTGGATCTAAACAAAAATCTTACAATTCATCATCAAGAGAATAATAAAGAAGAAAACTAGTATTGTTATAGTCTCTTTCACCTTAGAACTTTAGAATAATAACTAAGAATTTTTTTTTATCTTAAAATAAAAGAAAAACACCAGAAACACCAACTATGAGACGTTTGTTTTGTACCTATGTACAAGTACGGAACGTACTTAGAAAATACAAAGAAAATTACTAAACTCCATGTTGTTCCTGTGGCTCAAGATTTTAAGAATTTCATTTTTTTTTTCAAAAAAAATGAAAAAACAAAAATTGTTTGTTTTTCCTTCTCCATGTTTTCCTTTTTTTATTTTTCTTTCTAATTTTGATCCTATTTTAATGCCCACTGGTGTTTATCATAAAAACCTGTCAAGAAAATAGAAATTATTTTCTAGATATATGCTAGACTGATGTTGAATAGAAAAAAAGAAAAAAAAAAGTGAAGCTAAATGGAAGGTAACACTGGTATAGTTTTAACCCTCTTCTCATGGGAAATCTAGGTCATTACATTTTAGAGTGAAAATAAATACCTCAGTGAAAAATATGAAGAAAAATTAGAAAAAGGATGAGATGAGGATAGAGAATGAGATAAATATATTTCATTTGATTTTTTGTTGTTTTCTTTTTTTTTTTTGCTAAAAAATAAGCTGTGATTTCTGTTTGCTTTTTTCCTAAAAGAAAAACTGGTTATTATTTTGTGTAAGATATATTACATGTGTGTATGAATATGTATACTCGTAACATGGCGTTACTACTGATGTGTACATAATTTTAACAGTATGATAGTTATAAGGCACATACTATATGTATATCTTCATGAATGCACATACATAAGTTAGTAGAAAGTTCTGTCCTCTCATAAAGGTGGAAAAAAAGTGTTACAAAATTTATAATTCTTCTTTTCATTCTTAAAACGAAAAAAAATCTATGGAAAATA